GCGCGCGTGCGCGCGTGCGCGCGTGCGCGCGTGCGTGCGTGCGTGCGTGCGTGCGTGCGTGCGTGCGTGCGTGCGTGCGTGCGTGCGTGCGTGCGTGCGTTTGTGTGTCCCTGGGCCCCGCTCCTTACGTGCAGCCGACGATGGCCCCTGGAGCCCGGGGGACATCAGGGAGCCGAAGGCTCGACGACGAAGGCGCCCTTGGAGTATTCTTATAGCCAGACGCGTTATCGTACATATGCCCACCCATCGGTCGTTGAAAGTAGGCATTTCTGAATCCCCAGAGCCCAGTCTATTTCAAGCGCCTTCCTACTTCAAGAACCGATGTGTTGTTGTTGCGTGTTGTTACTCTCTGGGCGGGCCCAGAGCCAATCTACTCGATCCGCCGTCCTTTTTCATGTTTCTACCTACTTCTTCCGACCAGTGGGTACTGTACGCCCAGGTCTGACGGCGCACACGTGTCGCATCCGGGCTTTTGCTCGCTGGTCCCACCGTTGCGGGCACTCATCATGTCCGTGTCCAGTGCGGCCTGGACTTTCTTGGAAGGGGCGCCACGGGGACCGCCGCGCACAGGGTGCGCATTAGAATAGAGCCTCTAAGGGGCAAGTTCATCCACATCCGGTGCGCCTCGGGCTTCTGGGGCAGGGAGCCCGACACTCCATACTTCACCGCCCACCGAACCACCCCAGCCCAGCCCGAAGGCCCAAATTTGGTCTTGATTTCCAGTGTGGGGGGGGGGAATCGGGGCACACCGAACAAAAACACATGTGGAGCCCATACCCCCCCCCCTTAACCCGAAACTTGGGTCGTCGGTTTCGGTTGGGGTGGTCTGGTAGGCAGTCAATACTGCAGGGGATCTTGGCAGAAGTGTGCTGCCCGCAGCCGTGTTCCTCGCCGGCCTCCCTGCTCTCCGCGCGGAGGCTGCCGCGGTGGGCGCGCGGCGGCCCTGCCGGCACGCGCGCGCGCGCCGCAAGCGCAGGAGTCGGACCCCGCTTTCAGGGCCTGCTGGCATTGACGGTTGGCCTGCATGGGAAGGAAAGTCCTCCTCCTCCTCCTCCCCCTCCTCCTCACCCTCCTCTCCTCATCCTCCTTCTTCCTCCTCCCTCCTCCTCCTCCTCCGCCTCCTCCATTCCTCCTCCTCCCTCCTTCCTCCTCCTCCTCCCCCTTCTCCTCCTTCTCGCTCTCCTCCCTCCGCCTCCTCCTCCTCTTCCTCCTCCTCCGGCTCCTCTCCTCCTCCTCCTCCTCCCTCCTCCTCCTCATCCTCCCCTCTACCCTCCCCCTCCCACTCCCCCTCCTCCTCCTCCTTCTTCTCCTCCTCCTCCTCCTTCTCCTCCTCCTCATCCACCTCCTCCTCCTCCGCGATCGGCTCCTGATTGGAAAATCAAGACGGATGCTCTTCGTCGTTTTCGGGGGCCCTCGCCGGGCTCGCCCCGCCTTCCAGGTTCAGCCCGCGCTACATGTCGAGGAGCTCGCTCAGTGTGAGGAGGCGGCTGGGTTGTCGGCAGCAGTCTGCGAGGCCTTGAAAAAGCCCGCCGCAGGCGCCGATTGTCATACACATTACACGCCGAGCCAGCCGCGGGCGCCGACCTTTTTCGGCAAACTAAAGTGGGTGGGTCGCGAGTGGGTCGCGGGTGGGTCGCGGACGACGACGACAACGATAACAACAACAAACAATAATCCTCACCGGGGAAGCGCAGTTCAGGCACGCACCCCAGGATGGTGCAAGACCGTGTTCGGCCACCTCATTCTTACGAGTTTCTCACATATGTTCGTTGTCTTGTCGAGCATGTCTGGGTACTTGCAGCCTGGCCGCAGGCCATCGACGGAGACAGAGCCAAGTTCTTGATCCGCCAGCGGATGTATCACGGCAAGTGGCGCCCACACAAGATGAAGGATTGCGAAGTTCGTGCGCACGATTGCTGGGTGAGGGATAAGAGGATCAGGGAGGGGAGAAGTCGAGTGAGGAAATACAAAAAAGGAGCAGTGAGGAAGGAGGGGCAGGAGGTTCGAAGCAAGAAGGCAAATGGGAGAAGGGAGGACAAGGATCTGTACCAGGAGGTGGGCAGAAGGAGGAGGGGCGGGAGGCAGAAGGAGAACGCGTCCCGCTCAGCCGTGCGCTCATTCTCGTGATCCTGCCCCTGCTCCTCCCTCTCCCCTTCTCCTCACCCCTGCCCCTCCATCATCCCCCCCCCCCCGCACACAGCCTTCCCCCATCCTCGCCGCCTCCCTCCGCCGTCTCCCTCGCTCGAGCCGCCTGGGCTCCAGCGTCCTGGCGCCTTTGCCAGACTGCAGGGCTCCCGCGAGCCCCGGCCCCGGCGCCTCGGATGCGGGCCGGGAGGGCCCCCCCGCGGCTCGCGGAGGGGCCCCCCCCGCCGGGAGCCGCAGGGGCCGAGCAGCGAGAGCGGCGGGGTGGTGCAGCAGCAGGCCTGTGCTGCAGCAGGGCCGCCTCCCCGTGGCCCGAAGCCGGGCATGTCCCTCTGCAGGAGGAATCTCCAAACACTGTCAAGCATAGTCCGGGGACGATTTTTTCTAGTATGGTTAACTCTGCTTGGATCTTTGCGTTCCTCCAGAATCCGTCTGTGGGAGGACATGCCCGCCCTCCCCGTTGCCGTGCACTGCGGGGGTCCTCGCCGACGAGGTCGTCGATGGGCTCTTCGACTGCTCCCGTGGTGAGGCCGACGGGGGGCAGCATGACAGAGGACGAACTGCAGTCAACCCGCATGGTAAGGATGGGCAAGCTTCCCAAGGGTACCCTTGCACCCTCGCCTCCTCGGCCCAGCCTAACTAGGCCACTTTCGTTGGCCGCGCCCCCGTTCGAAAAGCTTCGCAATGGCCTTCCAAGGTCCTTGCGTCCTTATCGCGCACCTTCATGATACGGGCCGGCTGCACGGGGTGAAGACGCACGAGGGCACCGAGGCGATCGGAAAGGATGCCGAAGGCCGAGTCTGCCGTGCATGCCTTCCTCCCCGGCGACGGCGGGGCACTTCCCGAGTTCGGGGAGGTCCCCGTCTTCCCGAGCCCCGCGCACGGGGAGGGGGCAGCCGACCACCGGCCGCGGAGCAGAGCCGAGGGGAGCAGCAGGCCGTGGCAGTCGTGAGGATGTCGACGGCGCCGAGCCTGGTGCCACGCGTCGAGGGCAGCGGCGCTTGAGCTGCAGGAGGAGCCCACCGAGCAGGTCGGCGGGGTGCCGCTGGCGCCGCAGGGCGAGAAGTCAGGGAGGGGCGAGGCAGCTGCCGCCGGCAGAGCATTCGTCGAGAAGGCCACCGAGGCGAACCGAGGCGATGTTGCCAGAGGGCGGACGCGTCGGCGAGGAGCCACAGTGCAGTCGGACCGAGGCATGAGGTCGATGTCGGTTCGGGGAGGGTACCCTACTGCTCTTCGTGTGTGTGAGTGTGAGATGGTCCTCGTTCGTCC